CCTGCACTCAGCACCGCCCGGGCGAGGGCACTGAGGGGGTCAGGGCATGCCAGGGCCTCTCCCAGCTGGAGTGCTGCCACCCCCGGGCTCTCAGGCACCTGCAACAGCTGCTGCAGAGCTGTGCCACCACCGTGCTCCCGATGGCAGTCACGGATGCCACGGGCCTGGGACCCGCATGGCCCTCTCCGCGCAGACTGTCCCACGGCAGCAGCAAGGAGGGTGCTTTGGTGGAGCGCCTTCATGCCAGGCAGCTCGCCAGGAGCCTGCCCCTCAGGAGATATGGAGCCTGAGGCTGAGCTGAGCTGGCAAGGCCACTGCCCCGTCTGTGTCCGCACGCTGCGTGCCTGCCCGGTGCCTTTGGTCCCCAGGTGAGAGTGACACCTGTGCGCTCAGGCTGCCTGGGCACCATCGCTCCCTCCATTCCATCTGGACGCAGCGTCTCTGCAGCAGCGGAGTGGAGGGGCCCCAAGGGCGGCTCCGGGCACACAGCGAGACGCTCCAGCTCGCCGGGACAGTGGAGCAGCGAGGACGCCGTGAGAACAGTTCTGGGTAAAATGTAAAGAGGTAACACCAGTGGAGGCTGGCCCTGCTCAGCTCTGTCAATAAAACTCGTGTGCTGGTGCCTCCAGGTTCTCGAAGCAGCTCCCTCCTGGGGCGGGTGGGGCTCATGGAGCCCCGTAAAGTCTCCTGCGCGATTCGGCTCCTCACTCACGTGAGAGCTCTTCGAGGCCAACATCTCACCACAGCCCCTGGACACGGCGGCATCTCTGGGGGTCTGGGCCCTGCTGCACCATCCTTGGGCAGAATGTTCCACGCGGCCTCACTCTTCTAGAAGGTTCTGGCTGTCAGCACAAGCACAACCCGCAGTCCTGCAGGGACAGCTGCAGCTCCGGGCAGTCAGCGAGCCCGCAGGCGGGGTCCCGAGAAGTGGGCAGGTCTGTCCATCAGGTGGGATGGGCCCTGGGACAGCAGCGGGACCCCCACAGGCTGCCCCGGATGCACTGAACCAGCTTCCGGGAGCATGAGGCCTGGGAGAGCCCCATAAAAGGTTCGGGGTATCCGACAGTCTCTGCGCCCCCCCCTCGGGCAGGCAGGCGAGTGCCTGCAGCTGCAGCTGTCACACACCCAGAAAACATCAGCTCTCCAACGGATCTGACCCCTGCTGTTGAACAGTGAGTGCGGATCCCGCCTGGAAATACCAGTTTAAAAGCCAAGGGAATGCAGGTCACCAGACCAACTGATCCGAAGGGTCCTCCTGGGTGGCCTCCATCGAGCGCTTATCGCAGGATGCCAGCTGCGACTCGAGGTGACGAGAGCCCCCCGGATGGCAGGGTCCTTGCACACAGAGAGCCTGTGCGCCCCCCCACCCCCCGCACAGCCATGAATGAGCGGGTCCTCGGGCCGTTTCCCGCCCTGCGCCCCCTGGGAGGAACGGGCTGTCCCGTGTCTGGTTCCCGTGGCCCTTGCACAGGCTCTGAAGGAAGCCAGCTGTGTGGACTCAGTCTCGCCGAGCCGCCACCTGGATCCAGGTGAGTCGCCCAGGCCCCAGGAGACCTGGGTCCTCCAGGGAAGTCACTGCTTCAGCAAACAAGAGACGGGGACATCCTCCTGAGACCCGGCCCGGCACAGAACACTCCGTCCCCGGCCCACAGCATGGCATTTCTCTTTGCTGACTCAAAAGTGCGAACGGCCCAGGAACGAAGACAACCCCAGCAGCCACTGTCTCAGAGGACACTGGTCTCGTCGAGCAGCTCCTCCCAAGAAATAAGTTAAAGCAAAGGCCCTCCCTCGCCGCCACAGCCGAGCTCTCCCCCACAGCAGTGCCTGAGCTGCCCGAGGGGAGACCTGCTTCAGGGCTCCCCGAGTCCCTTTCTAAGTCCCCTGAGTCTCACAATTCCATCCCCCACCTGACCCCGGGCGAGGGCGGCTCGGACAGCACATGTCCAATCCCCCTTAAAGCCGAGCACCTAAAAGGACGGACTCCCACCCAGCTGGTGTGGCTCAGTGGATAGAGCGTTGGCCTGCAGATGGAAGGGTCCCGTGTTCGATTCTGGTCAAGGGCACAGGCCCGGGTTGTGGGCTCGTTACCCAGTGTGGGGTGTGCAGGAGGCAGCTGATCCATGATTCTCTCTCATTGATGTTTCTCTCTCTCTCTCCCTCTCCCTTACTCTCTGAAATCAATAAAATATACTAAAAAATGAATAAATAAAATGATGGACTCCCACACCAACCTCTGGCAGGAAGCTCAAAACCGGGCCAGTGACTGCATGCCAAAGCACGGTGCCCAAGGACCTGTCCTCACCACACTCCCCAGACCCAAGGCCCAAAGAGCTGCGCTCTGTGCGGCCACCTGACAGTGGGAGCCCACAGGACCCTCACGGGACGGGAGAGAAACACAGGGGCCAGGAGTGACTGCGAGGCCCCGGAGGAGTCAGAGTCACAGACAGGAGCGGGAGGCAGAGCCAGGGCCTGGGCAGCGCGTGCTCACGGGGACAGTCTGTCTGGGAAGATGAGAAAGTTCCGGAGATGGTGGTGGTGACGGATGCACAGCAATGTGAACGTGCGCACTGCCACTGAACGCCACGTCGAAGAATGGCTAAAAGGGCCCTCGCCGGTTTGGCTCAGTGGATAGGCGTCGGCCTGCGGACTGAAGGCTCCCGGGTTTGATTCTGGTCAAGAGCACATGCCTGGGCTGTGGGCTCGGTCAGATGTGCAGGAGGCAGCTGATCCATGATTCCCTCTCTCATTGATGTTTCTCTCTCTCTTCCTCTCTGAAATCAGTGAAAACGTATTTAAAGAAAAAAAATGACTAAAAGAGTTCATTTTATGTTGGGTGCATTTTATGACAATAAAAGAAAAAAGTGAGAACAGGATTTTGCCTAAGCAAGGGAGCAGCGGAGGCTGTGGACGGACGCTCTGGGGGTGCCCACCGCGAGGTGCAGTGGACGTGGAGTTTCGGGGGGCCTCTGGGAGAGCCCACCACGAGGCGCTCAGTGGACGTGGAGTTTCTGGGGGACTCTGGCTGGGCGCAGGAGGAGCAGCTGCTGGAGCTGTGAGGGCAGGAGGCTGGTGTGGGGTCTGACTCCACAGCCGGATGCTCCTCAGAACCCCCAGGCTTTTAGGGCAGCAACACGAGCAAAGACTGAGCCATAAACTGCTTGTTCGCACAGACGCAGCGGCCCCACCGCTTGGTGCCGGGCGACCCAGTGCTTGTTCCGGCTGCTCCTGCTGTTTCACACCCCCTCCTGGCACCCCCGGTGCCCCACTGAGTGTTCTGAGGTACCCCGCCCCGCCCCGCCCCGCCCTGTGTGAGCGTCTACCTGCCCCAGCCCTTCCCTGAAGTCACATGAAAGCAGTGCCATCGAGCCCCGTGACAAGGACTCCTCCCGTCCAGTGCCAGTCCCCCTGCTGCCAGGAGCAGAGCCCCCAAGGTCTGGCCTGGCCCGGGGCTGCCGGCCGTGCCCGTAGCCGGATAGGACGGACGTTAAGGTGAGGTCAGTAGGCGAGAAGGAGGGCACGCTGGCCACTTCCAGGTCACCTCAAGTGCAGCCGTCGGCCCTCACTGGATCTGCCCCCCGCCCCAAACACAGACGTGCGGGGGGAGGGGGGAGAGGGGGGAGAGGCCCCCTCAGGGCCTGGAGCCGCCCAGTCCTGCCACGCCCCTCTGGGCTGTGAAATCACGTCCTCCTGCTTAAGGCCTGCACTGTGGGCTCCATCGCCTGGCGACTGGTCAGCCTCCACCTCGGTCTCAGGCCCTCCTTCCTGGTTCATTCCCAACATCTGCTGCGCCACCTGGTACAGGAGCCCCATGCCCTGGGATGGGGGGCACTTGCCACATCCCTGGTCCCAGCCAGTGCCCACAGTCACAGTGCAGTCCCTGCCCAAACAGTGGCCGCGCCTGCCCAACCTCCTGGTTCTAGGCGGCGCCTCGCGAGGTGCAGATGGCAGCGCCGTCACAGTGAACCCCGTGGCGATTTTTAGCTCCAAGGTGTTATGTCTGAGCACACACACAAGCCGTCCTGGCTGCTCCAGGTGCAGGCGGAGGGGGCCGCGGCCCCGACACCGCCCACAGGACGAGAGCTAAACTGGACATGTTTATGCTCGAGCAGCAGGAGGCGAGCTCCGTGCCTGGGAAACTGCTGCAGAGCAGCCACTGTTTTCCCAGCTGTGGCGACGGCGCCTGGGAAAGCTCGACATTCCACCACAAAAATAACCCGCAGCTGAGCCAGCAGCTGCCTCAGCCCCGCTCTGCATCTCGGACCCTGAACCCCTCCCGAGTCCGCTGTGGACGAGGCCGGGACGCTGCTCCTGAGCGTCACCGTGAAGGAAGCCCCCCCCTTCCCCGAGCGTGCTTGGTGTCCTCCTGCACCAGGAACCACCCGCCCAGGCTCCATGGAGCGGGGCCGTGGAGACAACCCGCAGACGCGCTGCGCGCCCTTGCCCGACGGGAGACACGAGCACTCATCCAGAGCAGCTCTAGGCACCCCTGGGCACAACTCCCCTGGCTCTAGCAGGCCCCAGCGACGCCCTCCACACCACGACCAACCATCTCAAGACACCAGAGACACGGCGCCCTCTCCGAAAGCCGAGAAAACAGACTCGCTCGGGGCCTCTGGGAGCACTGCAAACGGACGGGCCACCTAGACTCAGTTCAATCTCAAAAATGGCAAAAGGACTAAACAGGGCGAGTCTTGTGACCTCAGGATCACCTGGGTGAGCGCCGAGAGCCCACCGTGCTGAGAGGCCGGACACCCGCCCGGGCGCACACAGCGAACCCCGTGAACCCGCGCTGTGGCTTCACCAGGGCACGGTCTCCGCTGCCGAGGAGACGTGCTGACAACCAAGCTGAGTCCATGCCACGCACAAGCACCCGCGGCGACCATGGGCCTTGCTTTCCTGTGCGGGAGACGCTTTCACACACACCCTGCCCCCAGAGTCCTGCTCTCTGCCCAGTGGGCGGCATTTTCCCATTCACATTGGGGGGCGGGAGGGCAGGTGGAGGGGCTGTTTGTTTAGGGCAAAAGCCATACACAACAACCGACGGGGGAATCTGCTTCATGAAGAAAGCTGTGCAAGAAGACAAATGCTGCACAGGATGGTGAGAAACACGGCGGCCACATGGCGGCCGGCGCGTGGCAGTGCGGTCACAGCGTCGGC